TAATTATTATTTATATAAATTATCAAATTTTCATTTAAAATTTATATCTTAAAAATTAAGAAATTAACTAAGATTTATTAAAAATAAAATTTGATTTTTAATTCAAAATGAGATAAAATAGATTAGCCCTATCAAATAATTAAAACCAATTATTTATCATAAAGCAAAAATAAAAATCAAATAATAATAAGAGCTGACAACTGTGATTGATTCTTTCCCATGATAAAATTTAATACTCCTAGAATTTATGAGTATCGGGACAAAGCCACCTTCTTTAATGACCAAGTACTACTAATAGCCCTCCTTTAATTACCAATTACTACTAATAGCACTCTTTCAATTACCAAGTACTACTAATTGATGTACTAGTAGCTTAAGGAGCACTTAAAATTGGAGTTCTTGATCATCAATTTCTGCAGGGTTTGCACATCTGGACCAGTACTCCTTCACAAGCTGCCCAAATAAAGATCCCTCCTTTTTCATCAGTTTAAATGGCTCATCATATTCCATAACCATCCCTGTTAATATAAACATAAAAAATATTAGGGTTTTTTGGGGCAAAGTTTAAATCTTTATAATGCTAAACAGATTCAATTCAGCTATAAGGGTGATAAGGTTTGAATTTAGAACTTACCATCACTAATACCAAGCACCATGGTGCAGTCCATCACAGTTGGTATTCTATGAGCAACAGTAATCACCGTACACTTTGCAAATTCTGTTCTTATTGTTTTCTGGAGGATAGAATCAGTGGCATTGTCTATGGAGGCGGTGGCCTCATCAAGAACCAGAATTCGGCTCCTCTTCAGCAATGCTCGTCCCAGGCAGAACAATTGCCGCTGCCCCATGCTCCAGTTTGATCCATCCTGTACCACTGTAGCTTGCGTTTCTTAGCAGCCAACTAACCACAGCCATAGGTTTTAATAAATGTGCAAATTCTTACCTAAGGAGTCAAGGCCTTCTTCTTTCTCTTCAACAGCCTCCCTCAGCTGACATTTCTCCAGAACCTTTACACAGGAAACACTACACTTAGAATTTGTCATTTTAATCAATTTAGCATGCTGCTCTGATATTCCAACCTACCTCCCATATGTCATTATCATTGTGCTGGGATAAGGGGTCTAGATTGTATCTTACAGAGCCATCAAAGAGTGTAGGATCTTGTGGGATGACCCCCAAGCGTGATCTTAGGTCATGAAGCCCGATTTCTGAGATGTTCAGACCATCAATGACGATCTTTCCATGTGTAGGCTCTACCAGTCGGAACATTGCACTGATCAAAGTTGTCTTCCCACTACCAGTTCGGCCAACTATTCCAACCTTGCTCCCTCCTTCAATTTTGCAGCTTATTCCCTGGAGCACCAGTGGAGAACTGGGGCGGTATCTTACCTGTTTGATGACATTCTCTGTGATATTGTTGAGTTATAATTAGAGAAAAAAGTGAAGGCACTGCTTTGCTAACTTCTTACCTTCAAATTGTAGATCTCCACTTTGCCAACAGAAGGCCAATCCTCTGCAGGTCTTTTATCATCAATTACTTCTGGAGCTTCACAGGGGATGTGCATGTATTGCTCTAGTCTTTCTACAGATATAACCATATTTTCTAGCAAGCATTGAAATTGGATAGAAGCAACAAGGAAAACATTTAAAGAAAGTCCATATGACAGTGCCATTCCAATGAGACCTGCCATCAAATTATCAATTGTTAGATAATAATTGATCCAAATATGAGGAGATTCTATTGATATTTTTCTCAAAACTACGGATGAATAAACCTGAAGAAGATGCTCCCAAA